TTCAATAGTTGCTTAGAAATATGACCAAATTTCCTTTCATTTCTGCCAGGCCTACTTTCTCTGACATTAATTAGTTGATGTTAGACCTTTAGATTGCTTGATGGATATAAGTCTGGGTCATAGTATGTCTCAAGTGTCACAAATGCTTGATGAAGATGGGCTAGATCGTACTATGAGCTGGATGACTCAAGTTCACCACCACAAACAGTTCAGACACCTATGTGTTCCAAGAGACCCAAGCAAAGACCCAAGTGGATGAATGACTACACAGACATATGATGAGGGTAAGAAGAAAAGACCCAAGTGGATGAATGATTACACAAATGTATGATGTGGATGAGGATGTGAAGCAAAGACCCAAGTGGATGAATGACTTCACATACGTATGATGAGAACAAGAAGCAATGTATCATTTACTTAGGACTATTGTATCAAATTAGCTGATATGGGATGTCTAGGGAACTCTTGAAGCCTAGGTATGTTGGCTTTGAAGGGGAGTTGAGATCTTAAGGTTTTTTTTTCTGTATTGCCATTGTTATTCCTTTTGTATTTGCTTTGTTTGTATTCACTGTTTCTTTCAGTTGTAATTCATTGTCATAGTGTGATAGGTTGGTGTCAGTAATTAAGAATCTGTCATTGGAATTCTGTATTGCTTGAGTTAAGTGAAGAATATAATGAGATAGCTTTCATTTCATCTACAACTATCCTCTGTTTATCGTGTTTTCCATTACTGTCCAACAATATTATATACGTTGGTAGCTATTTAGAATCTTTATTGTTAATAGGTGAGGCGAAACATTATAAATTACATTGTTATTATTAAACTTGAGGAAACCACTATTTTAAACATTAAAAGTTAATATTCACATTGAACTGATTGCTCTTTTTGCTGAACAAATCTAAGTGACACGTAATTAATATGTTTGAAATTTGTACGCATTGCACCATCTATGAACTAATAACTAATGAGTTTGACTCTTACACGTCAATATTTTTTGCCTCTATTTTAGACTCAATTACAATATATTTGGAATTCTCGTGGCCAAAAAGAAAATGAAGTATAAGTAAATTCTTTGCTCGAGAATTCCATGTTTTCTCCCCCAGTTTTTTTAATTGTCCATTTCCAATAGTTCGTTAGAAATTTGACCAAATTTGCATTCATTTCTTCCAGGCCTACTTTCTCTTACATTGATTAGCTAATGTTGACCTTCAGATTGCTTGATGGATACAAGTCTAGGTCATAGTATGTCACAAGTGTCATAAATGCTTGAGGAAGGTGGGCAGGATCGTAATGTGACCGAGGAATATGGGCTGCATGGCTCAGGCCCACTATCACAATCAATTCAGACGCCTAGGTGGTCCAAGAGACACAACCCAAGTGGATGAATGACTAGCAGACATATGATAAGGATGAGAAGAAAAGACTCAAGTGGATGAATGATAACACAACGGTATGATGAGAATGAGAAGCAACGTATCATTTACTTAGGACCTTTGTAACAAATTAGCTAATATGGGGATGTCTAGGGAACTCTTAGAGCCTAGGTATGTTGGCTTTGAGGGAGAGTTGAGATCTTAGGGTTTATCTTTTCTGTATTGTCATTGTTACTCCTTTTGTATTTGTTTATTTTGTATTCACTGTTTGATTCAGATGTAATTTCCTGTCACAGTGTGATAGGTTGGAGTCTGTAATTAAGATTAAGTCACAGGAGTTATGTATTGATTGAGTTAATTGAAGAATATAATGAGATGTCTTTCATTTCATCTATAGATATCATTCTATTTATTGTGATTTCCATTACTGTCCAGCATTATATACATTGGTAGCTAGTTTGCTAATAGATAAGGCAAAACATTATAAATTATGTTGGTAGTAGGAAACTTGATGAAACCACTCTTTTCTACATTAAATGTTAATATTCACCCTGTACTGATTTCGCTTTTTATTGAACAAATCTAAGTGACACATAATAAATATGTTTGATATTTGTACGCATTACACCCTCCATGAACTAACAACGCCTGAGTTTGACTTTTACACGTCAATATTTTTTGCCTCTATTTTAGACTCAACCACAATTTATTTGGAATTCTTGTGGCCAAAAAGAAAATGAGGTATAAGCAGATGTTTTGCTTGAGAATTCTATGTTTTCTTCCCCAGATTTTTTACTTGGCCATTTCCAATAGTTGCTTAGAAATTTGACCAAATTTGCTTTCATTTCTTCTAGCCCTACTTTCTCTTACATTAATTAGCGGGTGTTCACCTTCAAATTGCTTGATTGATACATGTCTGGGTCATAGTATGTCACAAGTGTCATAAATGCTCGAGGATGATGGATCGTACCGTGGTCGAGGAATATGGGCTAGATGGCTCAAGTCCACTACCACAAACAGTTCAGACACCTAGGTGGTCAAATAGACACAAGCAAAGACCCAAGTGGATGAATGACTGCGTAGACGTATAATGAGGATGAGAAGCAAAGACCCAAGTGGATGAATGACTACACAGATGTATGATAAGGATGAAAAGCAACGTATCATTTACTTAGGACCGTTGTAACAAATTTGCTGACATGAGGATGTCTAGGGAACTCTTGGAGCCTAGGTATGTTGGTTTTTAGGGGGAGTTGAGATCTTACAGTTTATCTTTTCTGTATTGTCATTGTTATTCCTTTTGTATTTGCTTTGTTTGTATTCCCTATTTAATTCAGTTGTAATTCCCTGTCACAGTGTGATAGGTTGGAGTCAGTAATTGAGAATCTGTCACTGGAATTATGTATTGCTTGAGTTAATTGAAGAATATAATGAGATATCTTTCATGTCATCTATAGCTATACTCTGTTTATTGTGATTTCTTTTACTTTCCAGCATTATATACGTTGGTAGCTATTTAGAATCTTTATTGTTAAGAGGTGAGGCAAAACATTATAAATTATGTTGGTAGTATTAATTTGATGAAAGAACTAATTTCAAGATTAAAAGTTAATATTCACATTGAACTGATTGCTCTTTTTGCTGAACAAATCTAAGTGACACGTATTAAATATGTTTGAAATTTGTACGCTTTACACCCTCCATGAAATAGCAGCAACTCATGAGTTTGACTCTTACACGTCAATATTTTTTGCCTTTATGTTAGACTCAACCATAATTTATTTGGAATTCTTGTGGCCAAAAAGAAAATGAGGTATAAGCAAATGCTTTGCTGGAGAATTCTATGTTTTCTCCTCTAGTTTATTTAATTGTTCATTTCCAATAGTTGCCTTAGAAATTTAACCAACTTTGCTTTCATTTCTTCTAGGCCTACTTTCTCTTACATTAATTAGCCGATGTTGACCTTCAGATTGCTTGATTGATACTAGTCTGGGTCATATTATGTCACAAGTTTTACAAATGCTTGAGGAAGATGGGCTAAATTGAGTAATATGGTTTGGATGACTCAAGTCCACTACCACAAACAGTTCAGACACATATAGGTGGTCCATGAGACACAAGCAAAGACTTAAGTGGATGAATGACATAGATGTATGATGAGAATGAGAAGCAGAGACCCAAATGGATGAATGACTACGTAGACGTATGATGAGGATGGAAACAATGTATCATTTGCTTAGACCCTTTATAACAAATTAGCTTATTTTAGGTGTACCCATGTGCTGATATTTCAGTTGTTGTATTCACTGTTGTTACTGCATTTTATTTTTTGTATTGTATTTATAGTACTTATAGATAGAACCTTCGGGTCATTGAGTAAGAGCCCGTTTATATTGACTTATCAAAAAAGTCTTTCTTATGACTTTCGTATTTAAAAGTACTTCCTATAAAAACTATAGCTATTTAGATTTTTAAAAAAATATTTGATTTTTGAAAAAAAATATTGGCTTTTGATTTCTGCTTTTTTGAGAAGCTACAATTTTTAGCTTCTAAAAAAAGTAAGTTTTTGACTTTTTTATTATTTCTACTTTTTTTAAAAGCACACATCCAAATAGACTTTTTTTTTATAAGTGTTTTTTTCTTCTTTTTTTTAAAAAGCAGTTTTTGAATAAAAAAAATTCATCCAAAAAGACTCTAAGTAAGCAATGAAAAGTTATCTTTATTTCTTTTAGGAGGCTCTCACCCCTCGAAGTGAGCTATTTTCCCTAATTCCCTAAAATCCAAAATCCCTGTTTGCATCATTTGGTGATTGAGCTCTTTCTGCAACCATGGTAGGACCTACTCCACCACCAGAAAGATCAGATGTCACACGTACAAAATTGCTCGAAGGACATCAAGCGTTACAAGCAAATATGTTAACCATGGCACAAGAAATTGCAGATTCACGTGAAGAGGAAAAAAAACATAATTTGGTATTTTTTATTTAAAATATAAATTTTAAAAAATAATCACTCATTTTTTATCATAATTTTTATTGTATGTGTATTTTTTCCACTTAAAATAACATAATTATATTTTTTTAAATGATAAATATTAAAAAAAATTCATTTCGTGAAGTTTCAAGTAGTTATCAATTTTATTAAATAATGATAATTCAATTGATATCAGAAAATTAAATAATTAGATGTGAAGTATTGTGGAGGGATTTAAAGTTATAATTCTAAAATCTACCGATTGAAATATGTTTAAAAAAAAAAATTAGCCGCCAGTTCTGTCATGTTATCACTGTCTTAACTTGCGTGCTGAAATAACACAATGTTTATGGTAATTAATTACAGGATTCGCCATTTCTCCTGTAAATTTATATAAGTAATTTCGCAGCAAATAAATTTATATTAAAATCCACAGGTGAAGTTTAGCATTTAGAAAAAATAAAAGCCAAAATACGCCGGCGGCATATACTAATTTTCTATAAGATGCTGAAATTATTATTTTTTTACGAGACAACAAAAGTATATTACCCGTAATTAAATGGTAAAAAAGATGAACCAAACGTAAAACTCATTTTAATAACAAAATAAATCTAGGACTATTGTTTTAGAAAATTTATGATTCATATATTTTGTGTTCCAATTTGCATTGCATCTGTCATAATCATCATCGTCGTCCATATCACTTCTTTACCTTCCCAAAGGGATTCGCTGCAACCACCGTGAGTTGCAGAGAAGACAATCCTTTTCATAAAAAGGGCTTTCAGTTTCACCACTCAAACCCTATTCCCCTGAGCTTCTACACTCTTTTTTTGGCGGATCCTCTGGCTCCAAGGTAAGACCTTTCTCTACACCCACTTTACCTTTTTCCTCAGAAATCTTAGAACAGAGCACAATTATCATATATTCTGACGTGGGGTTCTAGACGTTTCCCTAAATTCCCCGTCTTTTTGTTTTTTAATGTTGGTTTCTGTCTGTTTCATATAGATCCATTAGCTTCCCATGTGTACGGGGATGTGACTTGCTTTGAATTTAGAATCTAACCGCCTTCAAAGTTTGTAAATTTCGAATCTTTTGATCTGGGAGTATTGAATTTTGATTTTGGAATTGCTCTAACGCTGTTCTGATGTGTTTGCTATGTGATGCTGGATGTGGGTCGTTGATCCGTGTACTAAGTCATGGTCAGTCAGTTTCCTAGATCAGTGGCTTCGGTGCAGGAGATAGATATAATTGTCTTGATTTTAACGATGTTTTGGTGCTAGCATGGTGGTTCAATGAATAATTAGATGTGAATTTCCTCATTAATTGGTTATAGTATACTACTTCAGTACAAGGAGTATTTGTGTTTCTGGCATAAAGTGTCAGGTTCGTTGCTTGTTGTATTAAGTCTGGCAGTAGCTAGGTTAGACAATAACTATTCCTTTATTCCTCCTTACTGTTTCAACTGTTAACTAGCTTATTTCTTAGGCTTTAGGGTGATGAAACTGCACCCATGGAGTCTTTTCTAACCTCAAAAGACTTTGATTGTTAGAACAGAAGAGCCATTGTAGAATTTGAAAGTTCTATTTTTTTCCTTCCCAATATCAGCTGATCTAGTCTTTTAGGTTTTCCCTTCATATGTATTTAGTATTTAGTTTGAGTTCATCTACCACCGACCCCAATTAATTTGGGATAAAGGTGTTGTTGATGTTGATGTTGTTGTTGATGTATTTAGTATTTAGTTCCAATCACTGTTCCCTTATTCTGTGCTGTAATTCCTGACTTTCATATCGCAACAGTAATGTGTATATATATGCCTATATGCATTTGAGAAAACTTTCATTAAAATACAAAAACATCTATGTACATGATATCATGTGCTCCAAAGAGAAAAGGAAGAAAGCAATACATAATTTACAGTCTTTGAGTGTTAAGCTGAGTGTTTAGTATGATCTCATAAGTAATTTGCAAATAAGTTCTTATCTGGATTAAAGCGTGGAACTTGTTCATTTGTGTTTCATTTTGATTACGTTCTATATTTGAATGTGATGGATATTTTACTTCATTTCTAAAACCAGATTTTGTCTGCAGATCTTGGCATTTGGGATTAATCAGCTGAAGTTGGAAATGTTTAAAAGGTTTACTTGCCCGATGCCTACTTATGAAGACTTAATGAGGAATGAACTAAATGAAATATCTAATTGTTTTTGTTTTTGTTTTTGGAACAGTGATGGAGTGTTTTGATTTGCAATTGGAAGAGATATCATGTTGCAGTGCATAGAGGGATTTAAGCATCTATTTGCTCCCCTATTGCAATGTTGTGACATTGATTTATATAAGCCGTCAAGAGGCCTTGAAGATCCTGAACTTCTTGCAAGGGAGACAGTGTGTATGCATCAACCGTACTTTATGATTATGATGCAATTACTGTTACTTTGTTCTTATACAAATGAATTCCAATTTGAATACAAGCTTCTAAAGTCCTGTCTCTTATGTTATTCCCTTTAGAATTTCAAAGCATGTGATTAGTTGTGATGAACAAGAAAAGAAAAGAAACCATATGGATGATGTTACTACCGTGCTTGTATTATTTCTGGATTCTATTACCTGGCATTCTACTATTTGGAAATAAATACACATAATTTGGACTGATGATAACCATTTGTTTGCTATTGTATGCAGTCAGTGTAAGTGAAATTGAAGCACTTTATGAGCTCTTTAAAAAGATCAGCAGTGCTGTGATTGATGATGGACTGATTAACAAGGTTTGTCTGTTTTGTCATTGGACAAATTGTCTTTTGGGCATACTGCTAACTTTTTAATTGAGCCTTTTTCCGTTTTACTTTGAATGAAAGAAAAGATGTTTTATTTATCATTCTGTACCAATATCGTAAATTCCACCAATGTCATTATTTTCTTCAATCTGAAAGAAGCTAGCCTTTCAAAGTCTACCAGATGTTAGATTCTTGTTTCACTTTTTTCCCGTAATATCAGTATGTATCATTTGCAGGAAGAGTTTCAATTGGCATTATTCAAGACGAATAAAAAGGAAAGTTTGTTCGCCGATCGGGTATTGCTTTCTTCTTCTTGTTTTTTTAATCTGTGTTTAACTTTACTCTGAACCATGAAAATCTGTTTCTCTGATCATATCAGGTTAAGACCCACACAAGTACATCATATACAACAATTGAAAGAACAACAACAAAAAACCACCTAGCCTTATCTCACACAAATATGTCATATACAAAGATAAATTTTTTGTCGTTGTTTAATTATAAAGCACTGAAATTTTGGTTCTCCTCTTTCTTGTTTATTACCCCGAAAAATATTTATACAATGCATATTAGGGTACCTGCAAGTTGAAACCAAACAAGGGTTACTATTTTATAACTTATAATGACTAGCATAGGTCATAAAGAATTCGAACTAACTTCTTGTATGCTATTGTTAATTCATATTAAATGTAACTATGTTGCTTATCTTATTTTCATGCTCACAAACTTCAGTGGAACATTATGTTGAATTAATGTATCTTAATTCTTATTCATAATCATTTAAATGATATACCCTTGTTTAGAGGTTTTCTCACATGTTCCCTTATTATTTTACACATTATAAAGAAAATTCTCTTTCTATACCTGTGACGTGTAAATGTTATTTTTTTTTTCCTTGCAACATGTGCATTCATTGGTTCATATCACTCCCATGTGGTTAGTATCTCATATGAGCTGTTCTCTATGTAATTTTCTTAGGTATTTGATTTGTTTGACACAAAGCACAATGGGATACTAGGTTTTGAAGAGTTTGCTCGTGCTCTCTCCGTTTTCCATCCGAATGCCCCAATTGATGATAAGATTGAATGTATGTTGTTTGAAATTGTTTTTTATAATCATCATTTTACGATGAATTTTCTGTACCTCAGCTTTTAAAATAACTGAAGGATACACAATTTGAATCAAGTCTTTAGTTTACTTGCATGGTCCTTTTTTATACCTAAACTAAAACCATATGATATCTTGTTTCAGTTTCCTTTCAATTGTATGATCTCAAGCAGCAGGGTTTTATTGAAAGGCAAGAGGTAATTAGTTTTCTTTGATCTGATTCTCTCTGTTTTTGGTCCTTACATGGGACAAGCCTGATTTTTATCTGATTTTTACTGTAAAGGTGAAGCAAATGGTAGTTGCTACACTTGCTGAATCTGGCATGAACCTATCAGATGATGTTATAGAGAGTATAATTGACAAGGTACTACCCCGTTCACCTTGTGATATTAGGACTTTTCTGTCACTTATATTTGTAGTTGTGTACAAAAATCTTCCGAGTCTTTTTTTACTATTACTTTTTTGTGAAAGATTACCAAGTTTGAACATTAGATTTTGGGTTTTTTCAGACATTTGAGGAAGCAGATACAAAGCATGATGGCAAGATTGACAAGGAGGAGTGGAGAACCCTTGTTCTGCGCCATCCGTCACTTTTGAAGAACATGACCCTTCAATATCTCAAGTAATTTTTAAATTATTTTCTTGTCAACTAATCCAAAATGAAGAGAGCCAATTAACATTATCATAAAGACTGCCTACAGGCAAATCCAAGTAATAAAATGGATGAGAGATGTGATATGTTTCTCTGTTTCCTTGAAGAATCTAAAGTGCAGCATGGCATTTGTATGTGTCACACTGCCACTTCAGATACTATTAATTTATATTGATTTTAGTATTAGTATAACCTAATCTACGAAGAAAAGGGATAGGAATTAAAAAAATCACTTGTCTTTTGAAGGAAAACTAATTTTTTTTTAAGTTTTTAGAAATTCAAGTGTTGAAAACAGTGGCACAGAAATGAACATGCTGAGACTTTGAATAATTTTAAATGGAATTGGCATCAGCCTGTAGGCACACATGCATGCAATGCTTGCTTTTCCCTCCATTCTTGGTGGATCATAGAACAGTATGAGTCAGTTACTTTTTGATATCACCACTGAGGTTTAATTGATTTTGGTTGTTATATGCCTGCAGTGAACTTCTGAAATCCTTTTTCATTTTATATTTTATTTTTATGGCACTTTCTGACATCCGTTTTCATGTGTTTGAGCAGGGACATAACCACAACATTCCCAAGCTTTGTATTCCATTCACAAGTAGACGACACTTGAAGCTCTAAGTATTTATTTGATGATTCTGCCTATGGTTTCATTGCCTGGGAACTACAGAGCCTCTTATGTAAAAAAAAAAGGGCATAGCAGAGAGATTTGTTTACCTTGCATTGGTTATTTCTTTGAAGAAGATATTTGGTTTTGTGGTTAAACTTTCTCAAGATACATTTGATTTATTGTTTGAAACTTGCAAAAACCTTTGTTGTTAATATTCCTCCAATCAAGGATTTCAATGATGCTCTAGTATATGGGCATGGCATAAAGTACAAGAATGAAAAACTTAGGATAAATTTACTCTCTTTTTTGCATTACATGGGAATTGAACACACACCCCTACACTACATACACCTAACTCTTTGGCTCTGTAGTTTAATTAACTTTTTAAACAAATTTCTACAGTTTGGAAGTTTTTAATAGATTGTTAAGAGTTACAAAAATTCTTAAATAGGTTCTTAAAAGTTTATATAATACTATTGTGAGAGAGAGAATGGGAACATGAAGTTGGCAAAGTGCTGAGAAACGATATTGATTTCTGTTGTCATTAATTTAAACCAAATTATTGTCCATTAATAAACAAATAATTTTACCAAAAAAAATATAAACAAATAATTATTTGATCAAGATTAAACACCGGTTGATATTTAAAGACTAATTAAAATAAATATTTAGGTAAATTAGATTCAACTACCTCAAAGTTTCTCAAATGAATAGTAAATTATATCTCATTCCATTTTTTAAATCTTTTTTTTTTTTTTTTTTTGATAACAACCATTTTTTAAATCTTTAAGTAACTATTACTTGACATCATTAAATTTTTAAGACAAAAGTTATATTTTAAATTATAACTTTTTCCTAATTATGTTTTTCGTAAATCTTGAATTTTATCATACACAACTTAAAAGCAGTAATAGTCCATTAGCAAATCAGAAGAGGGAAAGGACCATGTCTTAATGGTTTGTTTTTCTTGTATTTTGTTTGTTCTGCGCTTTTGCTCTCCTCATCTACCAAATAAATAAATAAAAGTGTTTTTTTTTTTTTTTTGGGTAAACAAAGTGTTTTAACTTTTAAGTCAGCAAAATTATTTCCTTCCATTAAATTTTTTAATTTATTATTTACATTTTATAAATTTAAATCTTACTTATTATAATTTATTTAATTAAAATTAAAAAAATTAATTACTTTATTGAAAAAAAATGATATTTTATTTTATTTTTTCTACGTAGATATATTGAGAAATCCTAACGCAAAGCATCGATTATAGGATATTTTTTAGCCTTCTTATTATAAAAAAAAGTTTATTTGTTTCATGAATGGATTCTTCTGTCACTCCTATGGTCGCGGACTTTTTCTTTTATTTTTTTACTTAATTCTCTTCATGTATCAAAAAAAAAAAGACAATTAAAAACTTTCAAGAGGAATAAATTTTAAAGAAATATTTATAAATTTTACTTTCTACTAATAATAAATCATTCAACTCTTCTCTTTTCCACCAAAAAATTGAGAATATAAAAAAAATGATATAAAATTATATCATTTCAAGTGATAAATATTTTTTATAAAAAAATATAATTTGTTTTTAATCTATTATATTTATGTTTATATAAATAATAGAGAAATTTAATACCCTGAATAATAATTTTAATTAGAAACCAACAATTTATTTTTAACTATTTGTATATTTTAAAAAAATTAATTAATAATGCTAAAAACTATAATTAAAAAATATAAAAACTCAAAAACAATTTTATATTAAGTTCTTTATCAATATATTTTATCAATATATAAAATAAAGAACAAATAAAATAAATTTCAAACGATAAATAAATGGATAATATATTACTCCTATATAGTATAAATTTTTTATTCTTAACAAGATACTTTATATTAAATTGCTGAAATAACTTTGTAAATTTTTTTTCTAATAATATATTTAACAAATAATTTTATCAAATATATAAATATTTAATAATTAATAATAAATATTTTTTTAGAAAAACACTTACTGAGGAAGACAGAAAAAATTATTTCATCAAACATAGAACTTATGTCATTTGAACAATCCTCATCTCAATGGCTTATAGCCGACTTTAAAACATTTTTCTTGCACGAATAGAAACTTCCATGCATTCACATTCAGACGAAGTACGAATTAAAAAGTCAAAAACTGGCACAAAAAATTACCATAAGTAACTAAATACACTAAATCCAGGAAATTGCACCTAATTTGTTAAGATTCCAAAATTAAAAAGACAAACAGGTAAATAGACTGCTCCGCAATCTTACTTTCCAAAAGGCAGATCAGATATATCAGAGAATTAATCGACTTCTTCCATTTTGCTGCCCTCAGCATCGGCGTCGGCTTCCTCCAGAGGGGGCATCATGTCAGCATCTGCATCAGCAGCATCCTCATCAATGCTCAGTCCAAGCTTCAGCATCCTGTGAATCCTGTTACCGAAAGTGTTGGGATCATCAAGGCTGAACCCAGATGTCAGGAGAGCAGTCTCAAAGAGCAAGAGAACAAGATCCTTCACAGATTTGTCATTCCTGTCAGTATCTGCTCGCTTCCTCAGCTCCTCCATGATGGGATTCTCAGGGTTAATCTCCATCGTCTTCTTGCTTGACATGTAACCCGCCATACTGCTGTCCCTTAATGCCTGTGCTTTCATAATCCTTTCCATATTGGCTGTCCATCCATATTCACCAGTCACCAGACAGCAAGGAGAATCAACGACACGGTCAGACACCACAACTTTCTCAACCCTGTCACCCAAGACATCCTTGATCACCTTGCATAGACCATCGAATTTCTCCTTCAGTTCTTCTTTCTTTTTCTTTTCGTCTTCACTCTCATCAAGTTTCAGGCCTTCCTTGGTAGCAGAGACCAACTTCTTTCCCTCAAATTCCTTAAGCTGACCAATGGCATATTCATCAATAGCATCAACCATAAAGAGCACCTCATACCCCTTCTTCTTAAGCTTCTCCAGGAAGGGGGAATTCTCAACGGCTTTCTTGCTTTCACCAGTAATGTAGTAGATGTCACTCTGTCCTTCCTTCATCCTGGTAACGTAGTCCTTGAGGCTAGTCATCTCATCACCACTCTTAGTGGAGTGGTACCTGAGCAAATCAGCTAGCTTTGTCTTGTTCTGAGAATCCTCATGAATACCTAGTTTCAGGTTCTTAGAGAAGGCCTCATAGAACTTATTATAATCCTCCTTGTTCTCAGCAATTTCAAAAAAAAGCTCAACACATTTCTTGACCAAGTTCTTCCGGATGACCTTCAGGATCTTGTTCTGCTGCAGCATTTCTCTAGAAATGTTGAGTGGAAGATCCTCAGAATCCACAATACCCTTCACAAAGCTAAGATATTCAGGCATCAACTCCTCACAATTGTCCATGATAAAGACACGACGGACATACAATTTGATGTTGTTAGGCTTCTTCCTTGTGTCAAAGAGATCAAAAGGTGCCCTCTTGGGTACAAAGAGGATAGCCTTAAACTCCAGCTGACCCTCCACAGAGAAGTGTTTAACAGCCAAATGCTCTTCCCAATCATTGGTAAGACTCTTATAGAAAGCAGAATATTCTTCTTTTGTTATCTCTTCAGGCTTCCTCATCCAAATAGGCTTTTGCTTGTTCACCAACGACCACTCATGAGACACTTCCTTAATCTTTTTCTTTTTCTTCTCCTCCTTCTCCTTATCTTCATCCACCTCCTCAACCTTACCCTCCTCTTCCTTCTTCTCTTCCTCATCCTCATCATCTGAAATCTCCTTCTCAGTAGTCTTCTCAATCCAAAGAGAAATTGGATAGCTGATAAATTCAGAATGCTTCTTTATCAAGTCCTTCAATCTGCGTTCTTCAAGATACTCAAGCTGATCTTCCTTAAGGAGCAAAGTTATCTTAGTTCCCCTGCCAAGATTCTCACCAGATGTATCCCTTGTCACAGTGAATGACCCGCCAGCTTGGGACTCCCAGACATACTGCTCGTCATCATTGTGCTTTGTGGTAACAATAACCTTCTCAGCTACAAGATAAGCCGAGTAGAACCCAACACCGAACTGTCCTATCATGCTCACATCAGCACCCGCAGCCAAGGCTTCCATGAATTCCTTGGTCCCAGACCTTGCAATAGTACCTAGGTTGTTCACCAAATCTGAAACATAAAAAAAACAGACATTAGAGAAAATATTAATTACTATACAGGGCTACACATATTAACTTCTAAAACTGACAAACCATCTTATCTTACCAGCTTTCGTCATGCCAATACCACTGTCAATGATAGACAGTGTGTTGTTTGTCTTGTCCGGTACAATGTGAATGAAGAGCTCTGGCTGACCATCGAGCTTGCTCTTGTCTGTCAGGCTCTCGAATCGGATCTTGTCCAAAGCCTACATTGTCACAGTCAAAGATGCAGGAATAAGACCAGATTCATATTTATGCCAAACAAAACACCTGCTACAGCGAAAATTCCTGCGTGGGTAGTCAAAATGATCCGAAATTGCAACTTTCGAGTCCATTTAAATCACCCATTCCGAAAGCCCAAAGCCCATAATAAAAAAAAAGGAACTGTGGGAAAAATATCCCAAGAGAACAAATATTCCATAACAATACAACCACCAGCTTTGCCTCAATACGCAATATTTACAGTACAAATTACGAGAAATTCTTCTGTACTATTGAGAGAAGTACACTAATCCAGTGACAACATGACACGGTATTAAGGAATTCTTACAAATTAGGCACAATGGGCATAGAGGAACGAGTATTATGCGGTTAAAGAAAATTTTAATTTCAACTTAATAATTCCAATAAAAAAAGAAAATAGCAGCATCACTTTGGTACGAAGAAAAAGAGGAAAGTCACAAACATTGGCCCTAACAAATTAAAACCGCAGCAATAGTATTCTGGAACAATCACTGGTCAGTTTCCAGGTAAACGCATCCAAACTAGAGAAATCACCAACAATAAGTGAATAAAAAGGAACGGAAAGAAGGACAACAAATCCTTACTAATTTGAGCAACAAACATCCAAAAATTCCAGAAATATCGTAAAGAACGAATGTAATCAAGGTGGGGTTGGGGGGAGGTGTAATATACTAACAGAAAGGCAAAAATTAAAACACATCTAACTCAGAAAGTAACAAATAAAAAAAATGATCATGAATAAAAATCCATACAAACCATAACTAGATCAAATCTGCAGCCACAAAAATCACGGAAAATTGAAAGAAAGAAAAAAACAGCATGAAAAAGTGCTTATAAAAGAAGAAAACTAAGCGAAGAAGCTTACATCAGAGGCATTGCTAATGAGCTCACGAAGAAAAATCTCCTTGTTGCTGTAGAAAGTGTTGATGATGAGACTGAGGAGCTGGTTGATCTCAGCCTGAAAAGCGAACGTCTCAGTCTCCATTTCCGATCTACTTCTTCAAGTTAGTTAGGGTTTCGGAAGAGAGGGAGAGTTGCAGAGAAGAAGTGAAACACGAGAAATGAGGATGAGAAAGCTAATACTAACAAATTACTATATAGTAAGATTTCACTAGGGTTTCTACTTTCTAGATCCTTCCTTTACTAACAAATTAAAACGTTTGGGGTCCACTTTATTTGGAACTACCCATTTCGCCATAGACTTGGCAGTTGGTTTTACTCATTTTAAGCCGTTGTTATTTAAAAAAAAAAAATGTCAAATTAAATTTAAATTTTATTGAATTTTAAATACATCTATATAATTTATAAACATGTCTCTACAAACTATTGTTCTAAATTTGTTGATTATTGACTTAAAAAAAACACTTCTCATTTTTAAGTTCGTTTAAATGTCTACTTTAAAAAAAGTATAAGTCATAAAACAAGTCAAAAAATTATCTTTTTTGTAAGTTAAAAATTTTAACTTCTAAAAAAACAGAAGTCAAATTTTTTTTTTTCAAAAACTAAATATTTTTAAAAAATCTAAATAACTTTAACTTTTGTAAAAAGTACTTTTAACATAACTAAGGCATAAAAGTTGATTTTTTTTAAAATGCCAATTTGTTTTGATCTTCTCTTTTTTAAGCTAAAAGTTACTTTTTTAAGCTAAAGTTAAAAAAAAAAAAAAAAAAAAAAAGCTTTAAAAAAAGCTAAAAGTTATTTGGTGGTTTACCAAAAAAAAAAAAACTATTTGGTGAATACTATTATTATATAAAAATTATAGTTTAAAAGTTATTTAAAAATTATTCATTCAAAAAAACACACATATTTTAAAAAAAAGTTGACAAGAGCTTAAAAAAGTTCCTCCTATCAGTTTTTGACTTTTTTTATTATAAGAGCTTTTGTAAAAATATGTTTGGCCTAACTCTTATAAAGAGAAGAGAAGCTAGAAAAAGATGATCCAAATCAGTGTTATTAAAACCGGACCAACCCGGCCGTGTCGACCCGGAAACCGGTAAACTTGCCATATAACTGGTCCGGTTGAACATGCATCATAATCGGTGCGACCCAGCCGATTTTTATAAAAACCGGTGACCCGATCCTGTCCCAAAAAAAAATTCCAATTTTTTTTATTTTTCAAAAAAAATCATAATTGACATATATGAATATTTTTTTGCTTATTGACTTACATAAGTTATGTATCTACAACACTAATATTATCTCAATTATGTACTATGCAGAAAATTTTGAATTAATTTATAGTTAGAGATGTCATTTTCTGAACCTAAAGTCTCGTATCACGATCGTTATATTTTTGTTTGATCTTTTATTGGATAATAATATGTGATTTATTATTTTTTAGGCTAAATTATATGTTACTCCCTTGTACTTAGATCATATTTCAAAAGATTACCTTGTACTTTTAATTGTTGCAATTAACCTCCATGTACTATGTAATTTTAACAATTAAACATATCTGTTAAAAAATTTCAAACGCTGTTAACTATGCACGTGCTTCTTCTCCTCATCATCTTATACCAACAAAAAAAAAAAAAAACCAAAAAATAATTCTTAATTAGAGAAACAATATGACAAAGAAAACGCTTGAGATGTGAAGTTTACCCAAATTTTGTGAAGCGTACAGAACCCTAACTCCAACCCTTTATCATTGTTTGGTCTACTCTCTGTTGAGGGGAAGAACAATCTTTGATTGGTTCCTGAAGGTTGGAAGTATCGAAGAAACCTTTGTCGTATACATTGCAGCCATCCTTAAATATTTTGCAAAGGAGATAACTTCCTAGACCCCTCTCATTTTATAATCTTCTTTGTCTTTGTATCTCTCGTTGGGTTTAGGGATTTGAGATTGGTTTGATTTCCCTAATTTTAGCAAATAATTTTTAGGACTTCTGTCATGAATAGTCACTACGTTGAACATGAGTCTTTTTATTTGCCACATACAGATTATGGAACCCAAAAGAACATTTTTTTGAAAGTTCTTTTTGTCGAGCAATGCTATATTAAAATCTCCAGCAATCCCCATTCTTCTACTTTAGTTTTTAAATAAAAAATGTTGAATTTTAGAGTAAAACAATATTGTTTTGCATTTTCATAAAAAAATCATATAAACTTTGAAGCTGGTATATTAGTTTAGTTGCATGTACCAATTATGGTTTTAATATTCATATACAGTTATTTATTACAAACAGTTATATAGATTTTTTTTTTTTTTAACAATTCTGGGATTATTTTCATAAAAATCTTTTTTCTGAGGTTAAGGTCTGCTGATACATGATATCTGATACATATTGAATTATATTGTTATGAAAGATGAGAGGAGCTAATCATGACCATATGCTGATAACAAGTGCACTTTTTTGTCTAAGCTCTATGTCGGTTACCAAGCTCATTCTATAGGTAACTCTTACTCATTCCAATTTTCCCATATTGATCAAAATTTAAGATACACTAAAAAGGTAACAAAACCGATTAATAAAAAAGTAACAGAACCACTAAAAAATCTTAAACGCCAATAACTCAGCACATATTGTAAACATTGGCCACATAAGAAGGTTTATAAAAAAGTAACAGAATCGGTTAAAAATGAAGTTTTCTGAGTATATATTGTTAATCTACATTCTATATTTCCTTAGGTTCGATCTCCATCTCTCTCATGTAAAGGCTTATCCAGTGACTGGAAAATTAGTAGCTGCATTGACAATTATGCCTTCGTTTTGTTTGAACCCATCTAGCTTAACAAGCAAGTGATTTAACAAACCCCGTGTTAACCCGGTTTGTTAACATGTCATCGTATTAAGCTACGCTTAATTTAAAAATACGGAATATCTTTTTCTTTTCAATTATGATGTCATTAATCGTTACCAACTTGTTTATTAATCAATTAATAAAACACTGCCTGTATATAAGTATTGCAAAGACAGCTAACTGAAATACCTCAAATATATAAACCATGTGAGTATCTAAGTCACGGAATTACAACTCGTAATCCGGACAATAATCCTAATACATTATTACAACTCAACTAAAAACGGAACATCGTCAATCCAGTGGCATGGACAATCCCATGCTCACCAAATAAGGCTACACGCCCAACAGCAGTCTCAACAGTAATACATAATAATAACTGAAGCTAAAGCATAAAAACAACAGGCATATCCAGCATCCAACATGTCAGCACATAACAACAATATCTAACTCAGCTCCGGCCTCCCGCCGCCAGAGGTATCAGCCCCCATACTACCTGAACCTGAAAATGGTGCCCCAAATGTGGGGTGAGATCTCTAAAAAGAAATCTCAGTAAGACAAGGGGTCCTCGAGGATCTTCCACCCCAAGCTCACTTACATGTGCAATATAAGTTCTAAAAGTATTAATTTCAATATCAGTTCCAAAACTATGCAGTGCAACATATATTCATGACATGTGTGTTTATTACTATTCTACTGGCTAGAGAAATGCAGGTATATGTCTATCACCTACAGATAGTACAAGGAACATCGCTTGCACCTCGCCCACAGCCTCACCATATTGTATGTACTACATACTCAGGCTTACTGTATAAATGGAACACCACATGCATATCATAAAGGCATTAGCATATAACAGCTCAATAACATTTCCAAAACATCAAAAGCATGTAACACAGCATGCATATAACCATACCCCCATGGGACATGGTGGAACCACAACATGGCTAAACCAAGGACACGAAAGCTTACCTTGCAAGCTCACTATCCTATGCCAAGAGTCCACACAGCTCACGTCCAACACACAGCAGATCACAATCTGATTTAGGACCAGCAAGCATATCAACATTCATAGCTCAAAAGCATAAACATAAAGACTACATTTTCCTTTTACGTTTTACGTCTTAAGGCTTCTCACAAAGCCACAAGCCCTTAATCACTTGATTCTGACTTAGTTTCATTATTACAGAAGTACCACTTCATCAATCTAGGGTCCACAAACCCCCAATAGCCTACTGTATGAACAGTGCAGCTACTGTTCTTCAAAATCCCAGAATTTCCGGATATTTCTCGGGGACATATCCGGATATGCAATATCCGGATATCCAGATCTCCATATCCGGATATCCAATATCCGGATATTTCACGAGCAGATATCCGGATATTTCATGACAAAATGCAGTTTCTGCATTTCGCGAAGATATCCTTCCAAGGTTCCATTTTTAACACTTAAACACGTTAAAGCATGCATTTTTATACCCTCTTAGGTTTATATACCGGTTGGTTACTTGCTTAACCCATTTACATGCAAAGACATCACCTTTAACCCATTAAAACTCAAGCTCAAGGTTGGTACAACTTACCAAAGTCCAAAACAGAGGAAGAAAGGCTCTTGGAGCTCTCAAATCTGCCTCCAAGGTTCAGACTACCAAGGAATACGAAAATGGTGCTCAAGACTAGGTTTATCTTCACAAAGGTGGACACTTGGAGCTTCAACCACCAAGACCAAGGCTCCAACACTACAACCCACCAACTCAGCCCCCTCACAAGCTCAACACAGCCACCAAACTCAGAAACAAAGCCTCACACTCACTCTCAATCACACACCCAAGTGTTTACTCCACTAAAGAGAAGAATAATTAGAAGAAAAGGTCACAAACCCTCACATTGGTGAAGAGACCATGAAGCAAGGCTCGAGGCTGGTCAGCCACTCTCAATACTCACGTAGGAAATATAGTTACCTAGGGTTTTGTGCCTAACAAGAGTATATATAGTCATTTAACCAATTAACACACAGTATTAACTTTAATTGCTACGCTTAGCATTTTAATCCCAAACTCAGGATTCTTAATCTACTCAATGTTACAAGAATTATCATATTTTTCTTATAATTTTCGGAGCACCTTTCCGGTACACGCTTTTCCTTAGCTAGTATCAGTTCTGGCATCAGTTCTCATTATATTAACTTGAAATTCGTTTTACAAGTCCTATATATTATTCCCATAATATATAATCACTTTTCATAATTTTCCGAGATACTTTTCCGGTACACATTTATACCGACTAGCAGAACCGGTATCTGCACTTTTCTT